ACGAGGGTGTGTTCCCGTTTTGCACACATTTGATAATTAGGTATAGAACAATAGGTTTGAAATATATTTTGATAGCAATTACAGTCTGATCTTCGTCTGGGATTACCTGTATTTTACCAATGCATATTAGGATATAAATTTAAAAGAATGAATTTAGAAAATTTAACTTGTCCAACCCAACTGAAGATGAAGTTGATAATTTAGACAAGTTCATCCTGTTTTTTATTTAATAAAGATAAAATGAATGAGGAAATTAACACAATCTTAATTCATGAAAAAAATGAAGTCCATTTAGTATCTTCCCATTCTTTCCGTAGATTCTCTTCCTCCAAATTCACAACTATAATATAGACTATAGCAATTAAGTAATTATCTTACCTGGACAAATTCCCGTTTGGCACACATTTTTTCAATGCCTGAAATTCAAATGTGTGCAAAATGGGAACAAACCGGCAAGAGTTATCTTTTTTTATTGCATTGCTGATCACTGAAGTAATCCAGGGACTTCGCCAAGTTTCTTGAAAGAGGGCGCGGTGAAGGGTCTAGGAGGGGTGCCCCCTCATCTGAGCCCTATTTTTTTTTTAATGAGTTTATCATCTTAGTGGTTAAAATTATGGTTCATTCTGGAGAAACAAAATCTAGCAGAATTACTCTTATCAGATGAACAAGAACTTTGTTTCAAAATGCTGCTGTTTGTCTTTGTTGTTTTTTCCCCGACAGTCTTGATATACATGTATATTTTATCTAACCCTAATTTATAAATGTAAAAATCATTACATTGTCTGTACTTAGTAGCATTTTTATTTTCGATTAAATGAAAAATTGCCTTTTTAAAATGTTATATAAATGCGCAAATTATTATACATAATCACACAAAATATTACATTCTGCTTTGTTGTAGAGCAATTTTTCTTCTACAAAAGGCCCATGGGCAACATTTCTCACCCCAGTTTCGCTGTTCTTCATCAGATTTTTAATCCTTTTTTCCCCCTTTCTTATTCCATAAAAAGAAATTTGACTACATATTGTGGCCCCAACTTAGCCTCAAGGAACGACGATAAAAACCAACCTTGAATCAACATATTGAAATGCTTCATTGTCAATATGATTAACATGGTCGTGCTGTTCCTCCCTAAAAAGTTTTTTTTTTCTGTACACATGCATTACGTAAAATTTGCTCTTCAATTTTACCTCCACAGAAACCCCAATGTTTCATAATTAAAAAAACAAGAAGTCTCTGATGAGACTGTAGCTCTACTGGTCTGTTTGTATAACAAAAGAAAAGTAGCACTTGGATTTGAAACATTGCAACATGCAACAATAAATAGAATTATGTATCTTAATGTAGTCTACTTTTGTGACAAGTTATATTGAAATCAAATGAAAACTAGGAGGAGTAGCGTTTTGAAAGTATTTCACGGAAATTTCTATTTTTAGTACCGGTAACCATGACAACACCATTCACCCAAATAAAAAAAACAGAAATACATATTAAGTATCGTAGTGTATTCTAACTGTGTGCCAAATTAGATTGAAATCAGACCAAAATTGTAGGAGGAGTAACGTTTTAAAGGAATTTCACAGAAATTTCTATTTTAAGTAACCATGGCAACACTGTTCATCGAATTCAAAAACCAATGCAATAAATTATGTATCTTAGTATAGTCTTCTTGTATGCCTAATTATATTAGAAGCAGACTAAAACTGTAGCAGGAGTAGTGTTTTAAAGGAATTTCACAGAAATTTCTATTTTTAGTAACCATGGCAACACCGTCCATTGAATTCAAAAACCGATGCAATAAATTATGCATCTTAGTGTAGTGTACTTGTGTGCCAAGTTATATTGAAATCGGACCAAAACTGTAGGAGGAGTAGCGTTTTAAAGGAATTTCACAGAAATTTCTATTTTTAGGAACCATGGCAACACCGTCCATCGAAATCAAAAACCGATGCACTAAATTATATATCTTAGTGTAGTCTACTTGTGTGCCAAGTTATATTGAAATCGGACCAAAACTGTAGGAGGAGTAGCGTTTTAAAGGAATTTCACAGAAATTTCTATTTTTAGTAACCATGGCAACACCTTCCATCGAAATCAAAAACCGATGCACTTAATTATGTATCTTAGTGTTGTCTACTTGTGTGCCAAGTTATATTGAAATCGGACCAAAACTGTAGGAGGAGTAGCGTTTTAAAGGAATTTCACAGAAATTTCTATTTTTAGTGACCATGGCAACACCGTCCATCGAAATCAAAAACCGATGCACTAAATTATGTATCTTAGTGTAGTCTACTTGTGTGCCAAGTTATATTGAAATCGGACCAAAACTGTAGGAGGAGTAGCGTTTTAAAGGAATTTCACAGAAATTTCTATTTTTAGTAACCATGGCAACACCGTCCATCGAAATCAAAAACCGATGCACTAAATTATGTATCTTAGTGTAGTCTACTTGTGTGCCAAGTTATATTGAAATCAGACCAAAACTGTAGGAGGAGTAGCGTTTTAAAGGAATTTCACAGAAATTTCTATTTTTAGTAACCATGGCAACACCGTCCATCGAAATCAAAAACCGATGCACTAAATTATGTATCTTAGTGTAGTCTACTTGTGTGCCAAGTTATATTGAAATCGGACCAAAACTGTAGGAGGAGTAGCGTTTTAAAGGAATTTCACAGAAATTCCTATTTTAAGTAACCATGGCAACACTGTTCATAGAATTCAAAAACCAATGCAATAAATTATGTATCTTAGTGTAGTCTACTTGTGTGCCAAGTTATATTGAAATTGGACCAAAACTGTAGGAGGAGTAGCGTTTTAAAGGAATTTCACAGAAATTTCTATTTTTAGTAACCATGGCAACACCGTCCATCGAAATCAAAAACCGATGCACTAAATTATGTATCTTAGTGTAGTCTACTTGTGTGCCAAGTTATATTGAAATCGGACCAAAACTGTAGGAGGAGTAGCGTTTTAAAGGAATTTCACAGAAATTTCTATTTTTAGTGACCATGGCAACACCGTCCATCGAAATCAAAAACCGATGCACTAAATTATGTATCTTAGTGTAGTCTACTTGTGTGCCAAGTTATATTGAAATCGGACCAAAACTGTAGGAGGAGTAGCGTTTTAAAGGAATTTCACAGAAATTTCTATTTTTAGTAACCATGGCAACACCGTCCATCGAAATCAAAATCCGATGCACTAAATTATGTATCTTAGTGTAGTCTACTTGTGTGCCAAGTTATATTGAAATCAGACCAAAACTGTAGGAGGAGTAGCGTTTTAAAGGAATTTCACAGAAATTTCTATTTTTAGTAACCATGGCAACACCGTCCATCGAAATCAAAAACCGATGCACTAAATTATGTATCTTAGTGTAGTCTACTTGTGTGCCAAGTTATATTGAAATCGGACCAAAACTGTAGGAGGAGTAGCGTTTTGAAAAATTGTTTACAGACAGACGGACAGACAGACAGACAGACAGACAGACAGACAGACAGACGGACGGACGACGGACACCTTACTATCGCATAAGCTCTTCTGGTCTCTGACCAGTAGAGCTAAAAAACAAAGACAAGGAATGTTTGGATATAAATATGATTTAGTTTGAACCTGCTACTCTTGAAAAGATTTGTTTCTAAATATTCCCTTATTAAACCCTTTTGCAGCACCACCCTAATCCTTAGGGCCATGATTTTATTAAACTTGAATTCACACAACCCGAGAATGGTTGCATATTACTACCACTAAACATTGTCTTCATGTTCTTCAGATTTATAAAAAAAAAATTATACATGCAAATGTAAACTTTGATAAACTATTGTGGCTATTCCCTACCCCATGGGAGCCATGATCTCAATAAACTTAAATCTACACTACCTGAGGACACTTCAGTATTAGTATTCTAAATCATAGCCTTGTTGTTCTTGAGATTTTTAACATATTTTCCTTACACATTCCCAAGTAAAACTTAAGTGTCTTATTGTGGCCCCATCCCAGTGGTCCCCACCCCACCTGAGGGGGTCAAGATTTGAACAAACTTGAATCTTCACTACTTTTATATGATTAATCATGGCCCTGCTGTTCTTGAGAACTTCTTGAGATTTTTTTCAGATATCTTCTATATATTCTAACATAAATTTAAACAAAACTGAATCTACACTACATGTACAGGTATGTCAGGAAGCTTTCATGCAACTTTCATCTTTTCTGGCCCGGGTGGTTCTTGAGAAAATTTTAAAATTTTCACTCATTCTTCATTATCTCCTTTTAAAAGAGGAAGTGATTGCTTCATTTGAACAAACTAGAAGCCTCTTTACCCGAAGATGCCTTGTGCCAAGTTTTGCTGTGTGCTTCTGGAAGAAAAAGCTTACAGAAGACACAAGACAGATGGTACAGGACAGACAGAAGCAGGACACCCTTCAATAGCTCACTGCAGCCTTTGGCTCAGGTGAGATGATAAAAAAAAGTTTCAATTACCGTAAAGAAAAATCAGATCACTATTATTCTTTTCAATCCTTTCATTAATTTAGAAAGTACAAAGGGTAACAAAGTTTCTAGCCACACTGGAGTATGACATGAATTTAACAACTGATTACAGTAACAGAATAGGCTTCTTGCTATTTATAAATACAACTTAATAAGCAGATAATTTCATACTATATCACAGAATAAATTTGGTGCTTTTGTTTAGAAACAGACACATCAATATGAACTGAATATAAATTCTTGCATTTAAGCAACAACATTGCAATCTGGTGTCCTAATATATGTATATGACAAATTAACAATCTGTGAATTCAACTTTTGTTGTGCTTGTTTGCAATTTTTATTTATTCATTTTTTTTCATATTTTGTTTTTGCCAACAAAAAAAATATATGGCAAAACATATGGCAATGGACCCCAAATAATTCTTGGTATATAAGATAAATAAGAAATGTATAAGCATGAATATATTATAAATTCAGTCACCACTGATGTTCAAAGATTCAGAAGTTTCAGAAGTTCCATTTTAAATGGGAAACCAACAGTCTATTTTTTCTTTATATTTTCTCTTTTTTTTTCATGTGTAAGAAAAAGCCAGCTTTTAATATGGAAATCACAAGGTCTCTGTTAAAGAGAGCAAGTGGTTAATGAACCATTAAGATTATTAAACAATTCGGGAATATGGCTCTTAATGTCATATACACCATAATTAAATTAAATGTAAAATCTGTATGAAACATGAATCACATTGTATAATAGCACTATTGACATCATAAAAAAAAATAAAATAGAATAAAATAAATAAATCAAACAAAACAGAAAAGCAGTCATAAATAAGAGTACATCAAAGAGTTATGACAAATAATTAACAAGACACATTGATTAGCACACATGTTTGTAAACAGCACCATAAAAAGTAATGTTCATTCTGAACTTTAATTTGCACTTTAAACTGAATTTACTTCTCCCAATGAACAAATCAAATATGAATGAGATAAAAAAAAAAAATAAACCAAGGGGAAATGTTAGATGTTAAAGTACAGGAAGTTAATAACTAAATATCAACTTACAGCTAGTTACAATCAATACACAATCCAAATGTGTTGATTGTCCAAGCTTAAGGCTGTAGAACCGTAAAAAACTTTTCCTGTTAGATGTAAAACATTCTAGATTCACAATTTTACAAACTTAACTTCCAAATGAATTGGAACACTACGCAGGTTAGAATCTGATTGATATTGTAAGAAAAAAATGAAAAAAAAGAAGCTTTTTCTCTGAAAAAAAAATTAACTCTTGCATCAAAAAGATTTTTATATTATGTTAATTTTTTTTTTAATTTTAAGTAAGATATAAATGAATGTTCTGATAAAAAAAAAATCCTTTTTTAAACTCTCACAAAACAACAAGCACATGCATATACATGGTGAAACTGAGAATTTGTCATGTCATTTACATAATGTTTTTGATGAATAACAGTACCTCTTCTAAAATTGTGAAAGTTTATGGTCCCAGAGTCAGGGTCTCACACAATACTTAGAGTTACCAGACAACAATTTATTATGACTTTTCCTAGTGGAGTATTTCTGTGTGCACATATTCCTATGCAAAAATGTTTCAACAATTTATTTATAAAACAAAGATTTGGCACTTTGTTTTAACCAAAAAAGGAAAAAAATCTCAAATGAACTATTCCTCTTTGATAGTGACCAGCACTATAAAGAAGTAATCTTCCAAAAAATACTCTTAATTATTGAAATACATTTAAACAACCCATATTTCCCTATATTCAATATTTAAATATTCAAGTCATATTTAATGAAAAGTTAAACCATAGTAAGAGGTAAATAAATTATAGAAAAATGGACAAGTTGATAGCTAAATAAAAAATACCTTCTACACAACAAAATATTCTCTCCATGTTTACAGAACTCAGAATGAGAGGATTGCAATTTCATATTTTTAATTCATAAATATAATGTATTTGAAAAAGGTGTGGAAAAGGTGAAGCAATTGTCCATTTGACTAAATTATTAAGAAAAGCTCTACACATGTGTTAGGACATCAGGCATGTATGTTAACTTGACTAAAAATCAAAGCATAAAATGAGAATATAGAATCTTAATTTGATACAATGACTGTTAAGTACATGCATCAGAGTTTGGTTTGCTCATCATCTAGATTGATACAAACTGAACCTTCTGTCCAGAAGGGGAAATCCCAGACATCATCAGTGGTTGTGACTTCCTCAGTCTCCGGTGATTCCTCATTAAATATTACCTGACCAGCAGGCAAACTATTGTCAATGGAAGACTGAACTAATGAATTATTATCTTTATCTGCACCTTCACTGGATGTTAGGAAAACTTCCTCTGAAATTTCAGGGTTTCTATCTGGATCAGGCTCAGAAATACCAGTGTGGATGAGACTATTATTGGAATCTTCACATTCTACTGTCTCTTCTGATTGGTCCAGCACTAGTGTTGATTTCTCTGAATGGTTCAATGCTGGTGTGGTATCTGCTGATTGGTCAAGTGCTGGAGTGGTAACTGCTGATTGGTCATGTTCTGGAGTGGCATCTTCAGACTGATCCAGCACTGTTGTGGTATCTTCTGATTGGTCAAATTTTTGTGTATCATCTGATTGGTCCAGAACTGGTGTGGAATCATCTGAGCACTCAGATGAAGGGGATTCTAGGGATTCTGAACGTTGTCTTAATTCGCAAAATTGACAGATACTGTCCCCTACACACTCGCACATAGGACCCACTAATGTTCCACGCCTCTCTCTGACAAATTCACTGAATTTATTACAGTCAATGATGGTGTTTCTCCTCTCTGAACGAGGAAAATCCTCATAAGAAATCCCAGAGTCTCCATCAGAATCATCAGCATAATTCACATCAGGAAAGCATTCCGTGTCATCAGTAGAATCACTCATCTCATCACTGGACCTCTCTGAATTGGATGTATCCAGATGGAGGGTGGCTGTGTTTGGAATGTCGTACAGGTTGCTGTTAGATGTTATAATGCTGAACCTGTCCAGACTGGAATCTCGAGACTGGATACTGAGAACACTTTGTCTGTAATTGTCAAACCTGTCAAGGCCTCTATTTGAGCAAAACTCTGCAACAGATTCATTTAAAGATGGTTTAACAAAATATACAATGTTTATACTGTATGCTGGTATTATTGGTTGAGTGATATGTTTTGATGAACTCCTAAAAGTGACAGAGTTAATTAAACACTTCTCTCCCCCCCCCCCCCCCCCCCTTCCAAAAAAAAAAACAATTTACAGTAAAACCCGGTTATAGCAAAGTTCTGGGGACCTGCAAAATTACTTCACTATATCCTTAAATCGTTATATCTGTATAATGAATTCCTTAAAGTATACATAGCGAATTTGCAAAATGGATTTTTTTTTCATATAAGTATGTATGACTACAAAATGTATTAAAGGGAGTATAAAATACAAATTTACCTTGGAATTCAAAAGTTTTCGGATGAATTAATTGAGTTTCAAATATAAATACTAACAAAAGTAATGTCAATTCAATATTTTAAAAATTTATATCTTTGAAAATTTGCTATAAAAGATATAAATTTCATTATTTTTTACTTCTAGGGGACACAAAATCAGTTCGCTATAACTGTAAATTTGCTATATCTTAGTTCATAATATCCGTAAAATTTTACAAGGAATTGTTACGGATTTTGATAAGGATGGCAAAGAACATCACTATATCCGTGAATTTACTATATCCATGTTCGTGCTAAACATGTTTTACTGTACAAACATAAAACTAAATAACACCTATCTTTTAACTCTATATAATGCACTTACTGAGGGGTTAAAATCAGTCAATTATGCTTGATTTTTGCTTAATTCGTAGGAAAACTTCATAATCTATTATGTCATAATTAATGAAAGATATGTTTTGTAAATATAAAAATCTAAACTCACCATCCATGAGTTCTCTCTCCTGCCTCTCTACATCCCTGAGTTCTTTGATCTTCATACTGAGTAACCTCTGAAAACACAAAAAATCCAGGAATTTATACTCAATCTTCATCATACAAAAATTTATGAACTTCAAAACCACATGCAGACATAGATTTTAAAAAAGTACACAGTTTATGAGGCAGTCAACTACATGTATGTAGACATTAAAACATAGCACTGCATGTCTCAATTTCAAATTTCATAAGATATAAATTTTAGTACTTCAGAAACTTCTGTTTATTACAGCAGTTCCAGGCCTGACTAACCTTTAGCTTTATTAATCTGTCATGGAGTTCAACCTTTTTACAACAATCCACAAATAACACAACCATTCTGAAATGAGAAAATAAAGTAACATGTAATAATTGTAATGTAACGTAGTAAAACATGATTACAGCAAACACCATCATAATTAGGGTTGTCAAATAGATCTATTTTTAGTAACTGCATGGTTACTCACCTGCCTATCCAATGGAATACTCAGTCAATAATTCAAAATTTAAACCTATCATCCTCATGATTGTACTGTTCTTGATCAGAGTATCTCTGGTCTATATGATTATATTAAATTAGGATCTACATGTATTTGCTGATGTTAAGTAAGTTATAGAATGAAATGAAGAAGACAAAATTGAAAACTATACTTTTAATACATTTACAAGAGGCCCATGGGCCACAATGCTCACTTGAGTTGCCATGACTCTGCTGTTCATCAGCAGATTTCATGGCAATCATGGCTTTGCTGTTCTTGGGAAGACGATTTTTAAAAGATTTTTTCTATACATGTATATTCCTACGTAAAACTTTGACTGACCATTGTGACCTCACCCTATTCCTAAGGGTCAAGAATGAAAATTTGAACACAACTGAATCTAAACTACCTAATGATGCTTCCATATAAATATGACTAATCATGGCTTTGTTGTTCTTGTGAAGATTTTTAAAGATTTTCCCTAAATATTCCTATATAAAACTTTAATCTCCCATTGTGGCCCCACCTTACCCCCATGATTTGAAAATGTGTAATCATATGCCATGTTCTGCTTCATATTAAACAATTAGTTTAGATAATACATTAAAATTTTCATGGTAATATGATATTGATCACATAAACACTGCACACTGCAGAAATTCTGATTCCATGATAGTTTTATGCCACTAGCATGAGCTGCCCATAGATGGAAGATAGAATAAATGGAAATCTACCATGAATGACACAATTTGTAATAGATTAGTATTAACATGCTAAACCAAGAAAAAAGTCATTGAATACATTACTTGGATGTATTTTCCCAATGCAATTACAGTTTTTAACACAACAGTGATTTCTGTTCACTATTTCAGTATTTTATTGTTTTTGATTATTTTTCCTGGAAAATATGACTGGTATCCTATGTTGAAAATGAACTAAAAAAAAAAAACAATATGTACACCTTTATATGATGTAATTTTCTCAAAGTCCAAAAATCATTTTTATTAGTTTTTAGAGCTCCTTTAAAAGCATCTAAAATTTTACATTTTATCATACTCAAGGTTTTGACAATGATGTTGCTTGGCCATACATTGAAATTGTAGCTCAGAGTCTACTAGTTTTTATAATATTCATGTCATACATGTAGTGAATGGGACAATTTGTACCCAGACTTGAAGAATTATTAGGTATGGCCACCCCATTATTAAGTCTTACACCCTGAACAGAAATATGAGCCTTGGTATAGTCTACAGTATTTATCCTTGTACTAACACAGAGTTGTGTACCTTGCTCAAGTATAATTGTGTTGAAATATTCACAAATCTGTAGGAAAAATATAATTTTAGAAGAATTTTAAAGAAATTTATATTTTTAAGAACCATGGCAGCAACTTCATTAAAACTGAAAACCAGTGAATAAAATTTGTGGTTTTCTTATGTACATGTAGTCCACTTGAATACCAAGTTTTATTGAAATCAGACCAAAACTGTAGTAAAGTACATATTAAACAAAAATTTCAGAGAAATTTCTATTTTTAGTATACATGTATGTAACCATGGCAACATTGCTCATCAAAATGAAAAAAAAAGCAGTAAAGAAAATTGTGTACTAGTATCTTAATTGATTTTACTGAAATCAGACCAAAATTTACTAAGATTAGTAGTATTTTGAAGCTTGTTTCCAAATGAACAAACAGGCAGACAGATGGACAACAGACATTTTACAACTGCATAATCTTTTCATATCCTTGACCAGTACAGCTAGATAAAAGATATCATACTTCATTGCTTGCAAGATACAATACTTATAATAGTTGCAATATAAAGACAAAGATTTTTTTATACTAAATAGCTTATTCATGTAGCAGTGGCAATTAAAATCTTATTTTTGTAGCTTTTTAGCCAGAGCATTGAATGAAGAGCAGTAGTCAATAAATAAATCACACATAAATTCCCCTACTTTGAACATTTATCTCTAAAGATCAACCCTTATGATCAAAAGCAAGGAAGTTATTTCATATCTAAAACCCACTTTTAACAAAAGCAAGTGAACTGGTGTATTTATGCTTGTGAAAGAAGGAAAATATCTCTTTTGCTTTATCAGAAATTATTCCTTGTTCTGTATATTTTTTTTTAACAAACTGGGCATTTGGAGATCCCTCAGAACACCTTATGGGGGGGGGACATTACTCTGCCTGTAGGGACTATTTTTTTTTCTTTTAGAAATCATTACTCTTTGCTGTTTTGGACTTCGACTTTAGGCTACTAAAATGTAATGATCTGTTTTTCAATTAAAAAAGAGGGAATTAACTGAAATTTCAAATGCAGAGTTTTGGGCAGAACAAATATTACTTTGAGCATCAAGTCAGTGTTTTCTAATTCCTTTTTCACTGTTTACATTCCTGTCTAGTATTGTATTAGATTTTTCATCAACAGATTTACTGCTCTATCCAATGCTCATCTTTTTGTGGTTATTTAACTCCACTCTTATATGTTGTAAAGGATGAGGTACAGTGAAATCACTAATTTTTGTCAGGGTTTAATTCTCGTTGTTTTCGAGATTTGAAGAGACCAACAAATTCATGTCCACCACAAAGTGTAAAATGTCACATACATAACTACTCAACAATTCTTCATCCATGAAATCAAATCCCCACAAACCAATAGTTTTTCCTCAAACCACAAAGTTCTGACCCCACCAAAATATGTTATTTTACAGTACGCAGGTTGGTTTTAGTCCTTTTCATATCCATGGCAGGCTGCTCCAAGCCAAACATTGCTAATCTGAACTTCAGTCAAAACTCTTTCTAAAGGTGACAGAATTTTTTAAAGCAGATAAGCATGTCCACAAAGACATCTTGAACAGAATACCACTGAAAAATCAGCCCACTGAAAAAAAATACTGTACTACCATGTTTGTTAGCTAATCACATAGAATAAACCATCAATACTGAGAAAAATTACCAATTTTTGATTGTTTAGATAATGAAATAATAGATTTACTGGATACATGTATTTTGTATGCTATCTAACATCATTTACCCAAGATTTTTAAATTCTTCTTTAGGCCTTAGCTTATTTTTAACCCCAAAACATCCTTATAGTTGTATTTGTTTGCCTGAAGTTGTATGTTTTTTAACATTGGGACTAGAGATTCTGACCAATATTCACAGAAAGCCCTGATTATGCATGCCCCTCTTCTTTTTCTAATTTCTTAAAAAGAGGCTCATTGGTCTTGATGGTCACCTGAATATCCTGTGCATATTGTATACTTTTCAGTGATTCAGAATGACTTTCCTTTCATATAATTATCATACACCGTTAACGTGTAGATTAACACACTCAAAATTTAGTGCAATATTCTCTATATTAAACTGATTAATCAAAAATTAGCACATTTGGAACATTGTTTCCATCTTATTTTACTGTATATTTGAAATAGCTGACAAGAAAATGAGTGAACAGCACAAAAATACGAATTCTGCTACTGGTATATTAAGTATATTTATAGTGTACTTATGCTTTTCATATTCCTCTACTTTCATTAATTCATTCAATCTTTATTTCCTCCATTTGGAGATTTGATAAACAAAACAACAATTAATTTGAAAGTTTTCTTCCAATGATCTTGAACTTTTTAAAATGGCTTTTCTAATTCATTAGATAACCATAACACTGCCATGGGTAACCATTATGTCCACAAAGAAATTCTGCTTTCTAAAATTTTATAACTTTCCTTTCAACAATTTTGACCTTGTCAAAATGACCTTGAATCATTGCTGTGACAAACCCTATGCAAGCTAGAACACAATCAACTTTTGTGAAAAGCAAGAGGTTCTACAATCTAAGAATAACAAAACTATGGCTAAGCCAAAAATTTGTTATTCTGAACCTGTGATCATGACCTTGAGATATGACAATTAAAACATTGCCATCTTTGGGTACCAACATTTTTTACCTTGACCTTTGAGTATGACCTACTTAAGAAAAAATTTAATCTTGGCCATTACTTTTGAACGGTGGATACTACGGCTTTCATATCAGATATCACATGTATATTCTTAATGTGACAAGATCTTTTTTGGGTACCAACATTTTTAACCTCTGACCTAGATCTTTTAGTTTGTTCTACATTTGGAAAAAACTTTATCTTGCCTATAACTTTTGAATGGTTGGTGCTAGGGCTTTCATATTTCACTTGTGCATTTCTTGTGACAAGACCATTCCTTAGGTACCAACATTGACCTTGAACATGGAGTTTTGACCTACATTTGTAAAACTTTAACCTTGGCCTTGAGCTGCCATATGGACACATCTTGTTAAACTTGAATTTAGTTTTGTTTTTGTTGCAACAAAATTAAAACAGTATGAGGAATGGCATTTTAAAAGATTTTCACATACTCTTTCTTTAGTAGTTATAGCAACATTGAAAACAAGAACTATAGGTCTATAGTATAGTATACTTTTGTTCCAGGTTTTATTGAAATTGGACCAAAAGAGTGCTTTGAAAGATTTTCACAGATATTTCTATTTTAAGTAACCATGAGAACATCCCTTGTTGAAATCAAAAACAGATGAACAGAATTATGCTTTCACTCGTGTACCAAGCTTTCCTGAAACTAGAGGAGTAGTATTTTGAAAAATTATTTACAAAGGGATAGACAGTCAGATGATAGACACCTAACCATTTAACATTAGCTCTACTGGTAAACATTCCAAGTTGGATTAAAATATATTTTGGATGAACATGATCATTTGTTTGTTTCTCTACCTTGCCTGGTTTCCACTTGATTGGATAACAGATACTAGTTCCTGGTGGGTTGCAAATTCTACACTCTTTCCATTGACAGACAAAATTATGTCCCCTGAAAAAATATTTAAAGCGGTATATATTTATTACTTTTGATAACATACTTTCAATTTATCAATTAGCAAACCACGTTACTGCATTAAAACTTGAATGCATAAGCTGGTGTGCATTATCTGGTACTATAAATGGGTATTTGTGCATTTAGGACATTTAATACTTCTTAAGTACACTGTCAAAAATTCATTTAAAAAAGTAAAGACTTCTCGAGTCTTTTGAAAACTAAATTCATGTACAGGGCAGGTACACATGTGTCTACCTTGCAGCCAAGGAAAAAATAATTCAAAATTAAAGACTGTCAAAAGAAGGTCATAATGTTCAAAACTTTAAATATATATAACATAATATTTTTTTTTTATCATACATCCTCATCAAAATTCAATAAGCATCTGCAGACATAGTGAAAAACCTAGATTATCAAATAATGTATAAAGCACACCTCAACAAATGCCAGCTTTAAGGTAGTCAAAGTCTCATACTAATTAAAAATCAATGTCAGATGCATAATTATTACACTACTGTGTTTTAGTTATTTGTCTGGAAAATATCAGCATATAACAACAACATCCCTTGATCCATCCCTTAATAAATGGCCTGGTAAGAGTTTTTGAAGCAGGTGCATTCACAGGTTATCATTAGTCTAAAATACATCAAATTTGCAGAAATCTGCTAGTTTGCCATGGGTATGGCTTATAGTTTCTTGAGAATGGTGCTCCAAAAACTTTAACCTGGTTATTCATTCCTCGGACACAGCATCAGACCATGCATCATCTATGCAAGTTCCTTCAAGGTTAGGCTTTTGAATATTTAGGAAATAATCTGATCCAAAAGCTTCCTATTCCTGATGAGACTGTAGCTCCACTGATTTGTACTTATAACAAAAGAAGAAAGGTAGCACTTGGACTTGAAACTATGGCAACAGAAATAAATAGAATAATGATTCTTGATTAAGTCTCTTTGTGTGGCAAATTGCAAAAAAAAAGTTTTATTGCAGTCAGACCTAACTCTAGAAGGAGTAGCACTTTAAAAGAATTTCACAGAAATTTCTATTTTTAGAAGCATCATTCATCAAAATAAAAAAAATATATATACAATAATGTATCTCAGTGTACCATTAGTTATATTAAAATCAGACCAAACAGTAGGAGGAGTAGCAGTATTATAGAGGTTAATTCACAAAAATTTCTATCTTAAGCATCTATGCTTTCACCTTTATTGAAATAAGAAATAGATATGCAGAAATATGTATTTAGTGTAACTTATGTACCAAGCAATACTGAAATCAGATCAAAACTGTAGCAAACCTGAAGGAGATATAGCAATTTGAAAAACTGCTTGCAGACAAAAGACAGACATATGACAAGACACCTTACTGTCACATATTAAGCTCTTCTGGTCTATCTCTGACAGTAGAGCTACTAAAAGGAAGCTACCTGGGCTACGAATCTGAAATAAAATATTTCAGATGTATAAAAAGTATGATTTGCATTATGTAACACACATACATCATCCATGCAAGTGTAATGCTTGAACAGGCGCGTATCCAGGATTTGAAGTTAGAGGGGGCGCAAAAAGTAGGCAGGGGGACCAGTGGGTCCAGGGCGAAGCCCTGGTGGGGGTCCAGGGGGCGAAGCCCCCGGAAGCTCCTGGATTCTAGAGATTTTGTAGGGTAAAAATGAGGTCTACCAAGTAGAAATTTTTACATTTTCTCGACGAAACTATGATTTACCCTAACTTTGACAATTTGGGGGGGGGGGGGGGGGGCGCGCGCCGAGTGCGCCCCCCCCCTTAAATCCGCCACTATTGAAGGTAGAAAATGGACCTTCTCCTAAAATTTTGACCCAAGACACCATGCTAGAGTGTAGCACAAACTCCCCTCTATTTGAGGTATTAAAATCCATACAGTTTTACTTATGTGTGGGTGGGATATATAAATTTTTTTAGCGTGACTTTGATTTTACCTCTTCTCATGCCTGCTATGTGTGCTGGTCCATTTAATGCAACATAATCCACATATGTATAAACTTCTATCTCTCCCGTTTTCTTGTTTTTAAATCCATATGTCTGCAATGAATCCAAAATTCAAAATACATACTTGATTTAAATGTATCAAATTCGTATACTGATGTTACTAATAATTCATTTTGGGTTCCACTTTTACTCATAACACTGTATAAAAACTCTGTTGGAATGGAGGTCTCAACAAGAAGTCTGTGAGCAAATGCTCACTAGTAATACCCCCGCTCTGATGTGAATATACCCTCTCATGTTGACATCTGAGTCATACAAAAATGAATCCCACTATTTGGCATGCCTAAACAAAGATTGTGCTAAAATTTCAAGCATCTGCACTGGGTACAGTTGCTGAGAAAACTGTGATAGAAATTTGGTATGGACAGATGCACAGATAAACAGGAAGTTGACATCGGATTTGAACAAACATGAAGCCCATTATTTGGCATGCCTAAACAAAGATTGTGCTAAAATTTCAATCATCTGTGATGAGTTAAGTTGCTGACAAAACTGTGACAAAAATTTGTCACTGACACACAGCTAGACAGACACACAAGAGTTAAACAGTATACACCTCCCTACTCCTCCTTAAGATATCATGTGGTTATATATGAAGGAATAACTCCAGACAATGTTGAAAACAAATAAAGTTTACATATAAGGTCTATACAGACTGGATAAACTGATAGTAATTAAGGGCTTCTTGGAGTCTTTGGTTCAATACATATGTAAGCAAAAATTCTCCTTGCAATGTTATATCATGACATTTTTGAATTCTTTCATTGCTGTCATGTTTTAATTTAAGGTAATTTTTCTGTGCACCAGATGATCACATTTTGCAAAAGTTCATGCTTTAAATGTTTATCTCTTCAAACATTCTTATCTTTCTTCGTGTCTGAGAATGTCTGCACAAGACTGAATATAACTCAACTCTGAAACCAAATACAGTATTATTGTAATAAAGAATACCACTGACACTTTATCATTCTGATAATGATTTTTTTTTTTCAGTTTAATTCTTAATTTTGTTAATTCTATAACATAATATCATACATGTTTGTACCTTGTGTATATGCATTACACCAGTGGTTTTTTTTTAATGTTTATTCAGGACACATTTTAAGAGAGAACCTTAAGATGTTAATCTATACAGAGAATGCATAAAAAAGATTTTATGGTAATTGTTTACTGGCTTTGTGTGACATTTAATGATTAATTTTACTCTTAAACTTCAAAATCAACATAAACAAAAGCTCATTTGATTTTACTGGAACTAATTCCTTGTAGGCATACATTTAAATCCATGTAAACAAAAAATAGTGCAGTCAGTTACAACACTGAACTTTCTGCAAGGAAACATATTAAAGAGTGGTTGTTGTTTCCTTCATTTTTTAAAAATATGTTAAAAAACAAAAAAAAGGAAGGAAAAGAAATTCAATATTAGAATTTGCAGGCAACATCAAAGAAATAAATTCAACTTCAAACATGTCAAATACATTCAACATTATCTTGTGTTAAAGACTGTCTTGCAATTAATTAAGGAAGCATACTAGCAACATAGCCAAGGTTTTTGGTTATAGATTTATATCATGCAAGTTTGGTTAGGTTTATATTATGCAAATTGTGGCTAGCACTCACAGCCCCTAAGATTTGTTTATCATACTTCAAAAATACTTTAAACCATTAAAATCAGGTTTTGACAACTTTTTTTTAACACCAAAGTACATGTAAGACTTAAAACTTCAATTGGTTTTTCCTTTTGTTATTTCCATATGATTCTTCCCTGAAGAAATTTTAATTACTTTAATATATAATGCATGATTCACTTTCACATTAACTTCCAACCTTCTTGCAATTGATATTAATCAGTCACAGTCATATCAGTGAATGTTGTCTTCTGGCAGTCCTTACATTTAGGTTTTTATGATAACAATTACCATAAATGCAATGTAAAGTGAAATATTATAATGTCTATGCTTATTTATTTACTATTGATTCAATATATACATTTCAGAAATGTATATATATACATGTATATAGGGAATCCCCCCCCCCCCTCCCTCTTTTTATTTCTGATTTCTGCTTCATGAGGGATCAAGTTTAAAGCTGGACAATTAAACAGATAAGGATATAACTTTAACATTGAAGAATACCTTCGGATGAAAATAAAACAGAACTAAATTAATCTGTATTAGACATTTTAAAAATCCATCAGTAGAGAGGGTTTCAAAACACACAAAAAGACCACATATTAGGCCATATAAATTTAAAATTTAGATTCTCATCCTAATTTGCTAAAAAAATGGGGCGGGTGGGCGGGTTTTATTTTTTATTTTTTATAAATGAATGTATCAACAAAACATTCGTACACATAATTTTTACATTATGTTAATGCCAATATGAATAAATTTTATTGTTTTCATATTCTTTTAAATATCTACAGAAGATTCTTGTTATAGAAAATTAAAATATTTATAGTTTTATTAACAAATAATCAAGTACACAGATACGGCACACGCCAAACAAAATGAGGTGCTGATCCTAATAAATTGCATATGCATGTTTTCTCAGCGACCTTTCCCCAAATACCTTATAGTTTTACCAACAACTCCTTCTATTCTGTGTGATATACAGATATCACAGACTTCTACTGTCCTCATACATTCAATCGTTCTTGAGACTTGACATGTTCGACATTAAAATATATCATATTTACAAAAACAGGATTGTGTAAATCTGTAAAATATTCTACTGAAAAGCCTAGGCCTTAACAGTTTTAAGATTTAACATTTCCTTAGCACTATTATTCTCTAAAGTCTTTGGACGATGTTTTATTATTTTTTTTAATGCAAAATCACATACAACTGGAGATCGTTATTTAAAACTTGACCATGTGTATTTTCTTCGTCTGTTTTTACTTGGTTAAAATCTCTTTAAAAACTTGCCCATGCCAGTGATGGTATCTAGATGTGTTTATATGTTATTTTTGCTTTTCTGCCTTCTCTTTACTGACAAATTATCTTTTCCTTACGTATTTAAACTGCTTTTATTGCCGATATTTCTCCATTCTTCACATAGTTTTTTTTTGCTATAAATAGCGCCACGCGACTTTTAATACAGACGGGAGATAACTCTTAAATTTTGACCCAGATTCTTGCTGCATAAAAATACATGAAAATAATACGCTTGGCATCCAAAAAACAAAATAAAAAAACAACGGGGCGGGGCACTTTGAGAGGGGCGGGCGGGGATGAGAATCTAAAGATTAATTTTACCTGGCCTTAAATCGTGTTCCAAGTCCAATAAGAAAACATCACACAAGTGGTAACTACATCATTACTACTGTTTTGGGAGATAAATATAAAAAGCTCAGTAATGAACGTTGCAGTAGTGTGCTTTACTTTATGGATCAAGAAAGGTAGTCACTGGTTTGACCATATACATGTATAAAATAGCTACTACATAGGTCAAGCATGGTACAAAAATAGACATAACTATAGTTCCAAGGAAAATCAAAATGTGCTCAAAAAATCCAAGTGTCCTGATAGAAATACACCTGTCCCAATAGACAATCATATTGAAATTAAGATAAAAAATTGTATGTTTTACAGATAACTCTATAAACATTATGGTTTATTAAAGTTTAAGCATACTGTACACGTTATACTGTTTAAAATAAGCCTACTTCTTTTTATATTTACATGTATGAGCAAGATTACTTTTTCAGCCATAGAATTCACTACATTTTTAATACTTCTAGAGGTAATTGTAGCTCTTTTGTCCACCCCTAAACAGTGAGTCTATTCCTTGAACCTCAGAAGATACCTGTATTTAATGGTACAACTGCAGTACTAACAGACCTGTATAGTGAATCCCCAGGAGTCATTGTCCTTCTTTAGGAGGATGGTACGTCTTTTTCTGTTGTCCAGAGGGTCAGAAGGAATGTTCCGTTCAGCCTCCAGATGGTCCAAGTCTGGCCCCACCGATGATATGGGCTTCAGCATCCGTGCCTTCTGAAAACACAACCTTTATAAACATTGCTTGTAAATATCAGTAATATTTTAACTTAGTTATTTCAATTTTTGCTGCATCCCAAGGTACCTAAATTTAAGTAAGATTTAAATTTTTAAAATCTGCACTTCGTCCCTGGCTATACATGTCCCTTACCTTTCTATCCAAATAAAACACATTCATGTTTTAGACTGAAGCTAGGTACATAAGTTTAAATTTTATCAAAATTTAAATAACACCAAACAAAATAAATCAAACTTCCAAGCAACTGATAAAAGTAGATGAGCGTGGTGTTGACAAAGTGTAGGGGGCTGGGAACATATCATAAATGACTTTAAAAACAAGAGAAGATTTGGTTTAAGTTTTGGGCTGTGGAGCACCCTTGACACTGTTGAAGTACTTCTGCAGCGTACAAGCTAGGCTTTCCTTCAGGCTGTCCAGAAAACTCTTGACACCTTATTAACTGGAATGGGATTAGTGTAAGTAGACATTAAGCTGAGAATGGGACAAGAAGTGGATAGTTAATGGAGCTCTAGAAGTCAATATTTACGTCTGTGTAATTGTTGTTTTTCTCAGAAGTGGCTCATGTTAATGATGTATTTACGTCAAAATACAAAGTGATACACATTCTTAACTTGGTTGTACCAAGAATGCAAAATTGAAAATTTTAATTTCAACATTTTCCCAAGACCCTTCATGATAAGCTAAACTATCATAATGTTGCATATACATGTAGCTTCCCTGTTTTAATATGTACATGTATTACTCATTTATGGAAAATGACTTCACTTTAAATGTACAGTACCAAATTTCATTAAAATCAGAATGCAATTGTGATAATCTGTTATCTATAGGGGAAAAAACCTTTTAAATTAATCATGCGTTCTCAATACATTTTATGATCATATGACATGTTTTAAAAATGAGGCTTACTTTTAATTTCAAACAAACAGTACTGGTAGCTATATAATGTACCGTATATGGAATTCATATAAAGTCATTCTTATGTAGTCCTGCATAACCTTCCTATACCATTTTCAAAATAGTCTTCTTTGTAGGCTTAATTTCTAGTGAAAAAAATTCGGCTGTTCCATCTTTAAGTCATCAGCTCCCATATGCATGTATTAAATAGATTCCAAGGACAACCAAGCATAGATAAATTGTTTAATGATCAGGATGTTTTTTCACTAAAATTGGAGCTCCTATAAAAAATAAAAGTTCCTGTTTAATTATTAAGATTCAACTATCTGTACAAAGCTCATTTTATAGTGAAAAGATCTGTTGACATATTACAAAAAAAAAAAACCAGGACATAAGGCCAGGTAAAATTAATCTTCAGATTCTCATCCCCGCCCGCCCCTCTCAAAGTGCCCCACCCCATTGTTTTTTATTTTGCTTTTTGGGTGCCAAACGTATTATATTCAGCAAGAATCTGGGTCAAAATTTAAGAGTTATCTCCCTTCTGTATTAAAAGTCGCGTGGCGCTATTTATAGCAAAAAAAAAAAAAAAAACTATGTGAAGAATGGAGAAAAATTGGCGATAAAAGCAGTTTAAATATGTAATGAAAAAATAATTTGTCAGTATAGAGACGGCTGAAAAGCAAAAATAACATATAAACACATCTAGATACTATCACTGGCATGGGAAAGTTTTTAAAGAGATTTTAACCAAGTAAAACAGATGAAGGAAATACACATGGTCAAGTTTTAAATAACGATCTCAAGCTGTATGTGATTTTGCATTAAAAAAATAAAACATCGCCCAAAGACTTTAGAGAATAACAGTGCTAAGGAAATGTTAAATCTTAAAACTGTTCAGGCCTAGGCTTTTCAGTAGAATATTTTACAGATTTACACAATCCTGTTTTGCAAATATAATATATTTCAATGTCGAACATGTCAAGTCTCAAGAACGATTGAATGTATGAGGACAGTGGAAATCTGTGATAAATCACACAGAACAGATGGAGTTGTTGGTAAAACTATAGGTATTTGGGGAATTAGGCCGATGAGAAAACATGCATATGCAATTTATTAGGATCAGCACCTCATTTTGTTTGTCGTGTGCCGTATCTGTGTACTTGATAATTTGTTAATAAAACTATAAATATTTTAATTTTCTATAACAAGAATCTTCTGTAGATATTTAAAAGAATATGAAAACAATAAAATCTATTCATATTGGCATTAACATCATGTAAAAATTACGTGTATGAATGTTTTGTTGATACTTTCATTTATAAAAAATAAAAAATAAAATCCGCCCACCCGCCCAAATTTTTTAGCAAATTAGGATGAGAATCTAAATTTTAAATTTATGTGGCCTAAAAACTAGAAAAGTAATTTTATATTCATACATTAGATAGATAGGGTGAGATTAATGGGGTAGTCATTCAAGGGTACACCACACAGCTGAAATCGTGTGGATACAATAGAACGACATTGACAGGACGTATTTAAGCTTTAGGTTCATATCCGAGTAAACCCCTGTAGCATCTCAAGTCTTTTGACAAAATATAATACTTTAAATACATTCAAATATTTTACTAAGACAAATAGAAGGTAACTAACGTATTCTACTACTTGTGAATATTAAATTTTAAACTTTAATACTATTTTTCCTCATTTAACCAATAAAAAAAATTAAGGGAATAAATGACCTTTTTAATTTCAACATTTAATTCAATTAAGTACAACTAAGTGACTATAAAATCCCCCAGTGATCTGCATGGTAAATCACCATGGGTACCTACTAGGACACACTTAAGTCGTCTTATATTTTGACACCAGAGATCATCATTAATTAATATAACGGAAATAAACCTGACATAAACTAATATTAATTGATTAAGTGTTAGAGTATAGAAGCCATCTGTAACTGTCAGGCACGTAAAATCTGTCTCCAGTGGACTGATTGACTCTAATTATATACCGTTTACATCAGAGAATGATCGTAAGAAACAATATAATGACGAAAATCGAGCCTTTGTCTTCTCAGCGATACACATCAACGATTCAACAGGTCAACATTTACACTGATTATTACTCTCACTTGTCAAGAACAACCCTCAAGTTTTAATTAGAATCGACAATTTTATCCAAATACAAATTCATCTGATTTATATCAGGGGATTTTTTTCCATTAATCCAAGTCCTATGGTTTAAAAGAATTAAAACTAATCATGGTACTATAGATATGCTATATAACATTACCAGCAAACAGAAATGGTATTTTTATATATACATGAACTAAGACTTATATTAATTAACACCTGTTTCTTATCATTGTTCATTGTATTATGTTACTGTATTGCAAAACTTTTTTTTTCAAAGTATAATCCAAGTATCTTACTTACATCATTTTCCTTGAAAATAATGTAAAGATTTTTTAAAATTACTTTTTATTTTTCAAAGAAGATTGCAATTGCTTTATTTGTTTAATATGCAACATCATAAACATAAATGTACAACCAATGTCAATCATAATAAGAGAGCAATACCAATATAAGCTATTTTACCAAAATAAATCAGACCAAATATAGCTACTGATCGAGTTTTGCTGACATGCTTATACCCTGATTTTCTGAAAAAAAAGTCCAACATTTTAAAATGGTTTATCATGGAAGAGCAAAAAATAGCAATTGGACACTGTATGAGACAATAAGTGATTAAGACTCACAACCTAAAATAAAAATTTTGAGTTTCTGAATCTCCTAAGTCAGTAAGTGTAATGTTCAGTGGACCTGATTTTCAGACTGCCTCTGACTTCATAGACCATTGTCTGAAACTATAGGAACCCAGTGTGAAGTTTGGAAACTGTTCCTACTAACATTTGGACACTGTAGCAACCCCCTACGAAAACATGTTCCAGTGTTCTGGAACTGATTTTGATTTTCCTGAACAATAACTCAGGACCTCACGTCAAACATTTGAGAATGGTATCTTTTTAAACTTGAGCAATGGACCCAAAACCTCCAACAAATTGTCTAGGCAATATGACATATATCACCTGTATAGATCAATGAACCTCCTATATCGGAAAAGTTTATTGTTCTTATCCTGATTACATTTTTATTGATTATTCTAATTCTTACAAATCCAATTACGCAATACATGTATCTTATAATAATTCTGATTTATTTTTTTTACAATTATCTCAACATCTTATTATATAATATTCCAGATAAGGTAATTCTATTCAAAGGTATTGTTTCCTGAAAACTCACTTATTTATGATTTACATATATAGCTTTATAATTTACATATATAGCTTTATGATTTACATATATAGCTTGTTCTTCTTGATAAAATAATGATCTTATAGTTTATATATATCCTTTGCAATTTTGATTCATTTTTCAAAGTGAGCTATGAATCTCACAATGTTCAGATCAAAAGGAAATAATACACTAAAGGCATATGCTTTAAATTATAGATTTAATGAAATTCGAAATGTTGTCTGTATGATAAATAAAGAAATCAGTGCCTTTGACAAGTGGATTTAATCACCCCGAATGACCTGCTGTTTGATTGAGAGTGTGTATTGATTAGGGGTCTAGTCCCCGTTCTGTGTATTGACTCTGGAGCATTGCCAGACCTGTAACACTTTTTATGGAGCACGCTGATCTATTTAATTTTATAATTATTCAACTTCAATGTTCAAGTGTCCTGACTATGTACACAATGTCTTCAATAAAATTTTAATCTATTTTTTAGATTATTTGTTTTTAGTACATCACCTCATAAAGTTTAAGGAAATAATATTTCACTTCATAATTTACAATCAGTAAGCTTTAGATTTAAGGTAAGAACCACGAATGTGTATGAGGAGAAAACATTTTTAGATTACAATACCAATATGACCTGGCCTATATGTTTTTTCTAAGCAGTTTCACTCATTCAAAAATAAACTTCTTCTAGGAAGAGTAAGATTCACAACTCTGTACATCATAGAAGTATCTAAGATCAATGTATCAAGTTGTTAAACACAACTATTTACTTAAAATATAGGAATGTTTTCACAAAGAGCTTGTTAACATTTATCTTTTCCTGATCGAGAAATACATACAAAGTCAACAACTGGCTTTATTTGTGTTTAAAGCTAAAAGCCATCATTATGCATGTCCCCTCCAGAAAGTAAACCATTCAGTTAAAGCATGACCCTATCGCATATATTTAATTATCAGACAATTATTCTGATACTATGTCACTTTGCTTAGATTAGTTTGCAGGATGTGAACTTAAAAACCTGAAAATTAAAATCTTTTACATTTAACATAATATTAACTTGGTTTTCTTTTTAAATGTAATTACATGTTATATATATGCAATTCAAATGATAATTCATGTTTGCCTATCTTACATCTAATTATATGTTTCAGTGGTTTTTAGGTATCACCAAAAACCATCTCAGCTAATGTTATTTAATTTTATTATACCTCTACTAAGAATACTCAAATTTGATTGGCTTGTTAGAAGGCTTTTAAACTCAATAATGACTCCAAAAAGTACCGTTTACAGCAATAATGACCTAGGAATCATTGCACGTGGGGTATAATGACCGGTCAATAAAATTAATGACCGCTAAAAATGACCTGTTAATCCAAATTCCATTCAAATTTTAAAAAAAATATGCATACAGTAATGATTGTACATTACAAAAATTGCCGTTATAAAAATATGTATAGTATTTTTAGGATACGGAACACGATTGGCCTTTAGATGCGTCATAACATTTATCGTTTTCATTGAAATTAACTTTCGTTACAATACAATGTCAAATTCAACGAACGCAGACTGGGCTCTCTTGTACAGTAAAAGTCTGCACCAGATTGTCATTGTAGTCGGGAATGGTATCTGTGAATTTATAAAAATGCAATGTTACTGACAATCACAGAGTGTTTTAATAAATCGGCGGTGCAAAAACTTACAAGACTAGCAGCCGAAAAGTAAACAACTTCACAAGCGAATCCCGATCCCGATGGAACACTGATAACAGTTTGTAGGTCTTATACATGTAATTGATTATTTTAGTAATTAAGCTTACAAAAATTGCCTTAACTTATATCGGTATAATAAAACAATTGATTACCCCTTATGAGTTCAACATGGTAAAATAAGGACCCTCGACCTGGCCCACTCGCTGACCTGACCTGACCTCGGCCGCTACGCGGCCTCGGTCAGGTCAGGTCACCTCGTGGGCCAGGTCTTGGGTCCTTATTTTACCATGTTGACCGCATAAGGGGTAATTAATTGTATAATAGTAAACCTATAGTATCAGGAAGAAATAATTCTCAACTCAATTATTCATGACTGACACAGCAGGGGATACATATCTGAAACCAAACTGCAAGACTTAAGACTAACTAAAAAGGAACATTTAGTAATAGCTGCCCAAATTGAAGATGTGGTGTCCTAGCTGTTATAGCATACTAATCATAGGCATCAGAACCAGGGGGCTGAAGGGGGGGGGGGGGCTTAGCCCTCCACACTTTTTTGCAAAGATAGACGTATATAGGCATTGAAAATTGGGTTAGCCCCCCAAACATTTTTTGTTGGTTTAGCCCTCCTCCCCCACTTTCAATTTGCTTCCGACATTTATGCTGATGACAAAAACAAAAAAAAGTAGCTATAGTTCCTAAAATGTCAAACATACTAGTACCAGCTACAACAGATGTACCAATGAGTAATGACAACACACTCGGGATTTTGTCCAATAAATATATTATGGATACATGGTGATCATGCATTCATTAAAAAGACATAAGAAAAAGGTTTAAAATACAAGGAAAAAAGGGTGTATTGAATAATTTTATGCATGCAGTCATGCACTTGTGCTCATAGTTATATTAATGTACACACATGCATTCATGAGCATATTAAGTTTAAAAAAAAGTAAATAATGAAATTAGAAAAATAAGTATCTTTATACTTCAATGATGACACACATTTATACAAAAACTTTCTATTTTCTAAAATGTCAAGGTAGAGGATATGTGCGTTATTGTCAATACAACAAACATAATGTGTGATACGCCCCCTTCTTTTACATTAGGTATCAGATGACACTTGAGCGCATTTTCGGCTGCATTTCTAGATTATACTATATAACGCTTTTTCAAATATATATGTCACAGAGACATGTGTTATTAAATATCTTAACGACTTTTTTCTTCTAGAAAAAAATAATATACTATGTATAATTTAAAAAAGGGGGGTATTGAATCATTACAAGCATGCATGCATGTTTTTTGTAGACTTACCTTTCTCTTGTCCGGAGGGTGTGTTTGAAAAGTTGTCAAATCCATCGCTCCATCGCTTACTCCCCACTGATCATTTATGTGGTACCTTTACCATGTCTGTGCTGTCAACTTATCGTAATGACCGATTGTGATCAGAGCGCGCCGGCGTGTACCTCAGGTGTCAACATTTCTTACCTTTGACCCCCATGTTGATGTTCGCTTAAGACAATATAAATAATTTAATTTGTCTGTTTTACAAGCATTTTCTGTACTTATATTCATTCAAAACAGTAGTAGTAGATAAAAAATACTTTATCTGCAGAGAAAACTAAAAATATTTTAGACAGAAAGGAAAAACACAGGCATTATTCTCATTGATTTAAGCGAGTGATGCGGTTAACCTTTGACCTAGAGAAATACGTCACTTTCTTCAGCTGCATCGGACTGATTGATAAAAAAGAATGGCTGGACCACAGGCAAATGATGCCCGATTGTCTTTGGAAATTCGTACAAAATCTGTGGAGCAAACACTTATTCCATTAGTAACACAGGTAGATATGCGTACGCTTAAAATCTGACCTTTTGACCAGTGACAATTTGATTTATGGACAGATCGTATTGTCCACAAGATACTGAAAACCATTTTACCTTTACAAGGTTTCCATTAGTTTATTTTTTTTTTTAGCCAAATCGTAGACTAAGTTAATTGTGTTATTATGTACCTAAAAAAAGAACTAAATTGAAAGTGCTACCAGATGTTTCTTTGGGAGATGCCCGTTGATTGTGCCTTGGCCTTTGTTTTGTGAAGAGAAGTTTGCTTGCAGATAATTTAATTAAAAGCATGCACAGATTTGTGGTTGATTCACAAATAGTGATTCTAAATGGTGTAAACAGCTTTATCTGAGCTTTATTTTAAACTTCAATGACTATAGGTGACATTTTGTAAAATTTTTATTTTTTTGAATTACCTGTGATATTTAGTAATCATAACTCAACTTGTGTGAGTTCTGTATCTGTTGGAACGACTTTACCAGTCCCCAGAAAACCACGCTAAAATATTATAGTGTCATTGTAGGTGACTTCAATATTTATGAGATTGAGTGAGCGATCAAAGAAAATTAAAAGTACAAGTTTTTTGGCCCCAAAATCAAATTCTATGGTTAAAGGTTTAGTTTTACACTTCCTTTTTAAATGAAGTTTTAACTTCTCTGAAAAAAATTAGATAAATATTGTTTATTCATTGAAAAATCAACAAAAAATAATTGTAAACGAAGCACATGCGGCGCATGCTTATAGTGACGTTTCTTTCGTACTTAGCGATATTTTCATGTAACCAAACCAATGAGATGCTGTTGAAGCTGAATTTAGATCTTGCAAAAAAATACAGATGCAACTGAATTTCTTAATTAATCTGAAAGAACTAGACCCTAACCCTAATCTCTTGGATGGTTAATGAGGACTATAACCCAAATCTTATGGGCGGATGCTAGACCAACCCTAAGCAGTCAAATAATGTGTGAGAACTAGGCCTAACCCTGATCTCTCGGATGGATGCAAGACTAACCCTATTCAGTCAAATACTTGTGCAAAACTAACCCTAATCTCTCAGGTGAGTGCAAGACTAACCCTAACCAGTTGAGTAATGTGCAAGACTAACCCTTATCATTTAAGTGGCATAAATCTTATGTCATAGTGCAATGAGTGCACTGATCTGGGGACTGGTAAAGTAAAGTCTACCCTATCTATTTAATATGGACTCTTTGTATGACTTGAAATTAACACACCTTATCATCGTAACCATTATGATGATGAACCTGGTTTGAAAATATGCATATAGCAAGTACAAGAACTAACCTGATAAAGCTGGCATAATTATTAGAGAATAGACTAATGAATTGCTAATGCTACTGTTTGTGAAATAAATGAGGGTAAACAATATATATGTTAGGTGAAATTTTGCAGTTTTGTTCATCAACTTTGCCAATTCACCTTTATTGTTTATTGTATTATTGTTCATATCTTATTTATAAAGGTTGTCGAAAAATTCTATTGCATAATATTGGCCGCAATAAAAGATGCACAATAAGATTTTACAATTTTAATTTTTTACCCATGACAAAAATTAAGAATGATTTCAAATTTAGTTTGTTGTTTGGACATACAGGTAGTAGCAAAAAACTTTTTTCTAATGAGGTACCATGTCATTTACCATAGATGTGCGACAATTTTTCTCAGCACATACAGTGCTTTTATAGTTGAACAAAGTCACATGCTGATAAAGGATGAAAACAATTGTCATTCTTCAGATGCTGCATTTGATTTATATTTTCCATGTGAATGATAAAGTTAAAGCTGTTGAAGGTCATTTCCCAAGAAAAGATGTCTTATATGTGCAAAGATCTTTCTCTCAAGGCATTTAATAAATGATAGATACTGTGCTTCAGATGATGCACAAATTTGGAACAATAAAAATCTTAGTATAAATCTTACATTGACCAAGCTTGCCTAGATATTGTTACAGTTGAACTTTGGTATCTTGAACACGGATATCTCGAATACCATTGATATGTCGAATTGATTGGGAAGTCCTAACCACATATTTCTTAAGTATTTTACCCCAGATATCTCAAACCCTCAGATATCTCGAAGTTTTTTCTTGGTTCCTTTGAGTTTGAGATAACGAGGTTTGACTGTATATTAGTTATGATGCTTTGGATACTTTATTTCCACATTAAAATTTAAAAATTTTTTGATGATAACATTCTAAGTAATATCAAACTTGACAATTATTAAACTCATATAGATGTTGCATTGGAGAATACCGTACATAAACCTGGGCTCTCAATTCATAGACTAAAGCTAATTGGCGTGTTTGACTTAAATTGAATTTGAATCTATACTATACATGTATATGCAATGTTTCACTGTAAAATGGCTTCAAAAAAGATATTTTTTAATTGACCCCACCATAGAGTCAAACAGCAGAATATTAATATTATAGCTATCATTCCTGACAGTTGCTTCTAGTTACTTGATGTGCCAGTAGTTTATAAATGATTGTTAGAACCATCATGAAGGCCTCTTTGTCAAATTTCAATTCTACAGATAATTGCATGGGTCACATTTTAAATCAAGCTGTAATGCATTATTATGATTTACAGATGAGCATAATCTATGCACATCTTCGATCATATTTGAACATATCTTTAATTAATGGGAAGTGTATAGTTCTCAGTGGTTTGTTAGATATATTGTTGAATGAAAATTTAATGATTTCTCATGAAAACTCCAATGTAGCATGGTTTTGCCAATATGTTTTAAGGTGAGATGCAGTTAAGTATTGATAATGTAAACATGCATGAGAGAGTTGTGCAGCTTAATCCGACTGATGTACTGGAAACTGCAGACTGGAATCAAACATTAGAGATAATCTGGCTTGTTGATATAACAGCCATGAACAGAATGTGTAAATCATCAGGAAGACAGCAGACAAGATTCATATGTTAACCAGGAATAGGCATTTGTTAAAAAAAATTGTAAGCATTTTGCAGAAGTCCAGTGAAAACTCTGAAAATGAATAAGGTTATGGAGCAACAGTGTTCCTGATATCCCTGTTGAAATCCTATAAGCTTTTTAATTATATACCAGTGTATTATTATCTTCTTTAGGATCTCTATTTTTTCTTGGATGGTACAATTACAAATGGCCTACAGAGTGGAGCTTTGTTTTGCTTTTGAATTAAAATGGACAAAACATAACATTCAAGTACATGTATATAGACATATATGTCTTAAGTTAAAAAAAAAAGGACACTGTAAAAATGTTTGGAGAGTAGGTTGTGTTGAGGACTTTTCCTGGCTTACCATATTTTCTTGGTTGTGAAGATTGCAAAGTTTTTTTTTTATGCCCCACCATGAATATGGGCATATAGTGTTTTCCTGTCTTCTGTCCTTCCATCTAGCTGTCCTTCCACCCTTCCATTCTTTTGTCCTTCTGTCTGTCCTTCCATCACACTTTTGCATTTAGCTCAGTTTCAAAGAAACTATTCAAGAAATTTTTATCAATCTTCATATGAAGATACATATTGATGAGAGCTAAATTAGTGTTATGCTCAGTTTCAAAGTAATTATTCAAGATGTTTTTATCAAACTTCATATGCTGATTCATATTGATGAGAGCTATTCAACTGCATCAACATGTTTTGACCTTGACCTTCCCTTTGCCCTTGACCCAATTTTCTAAAATTAGTTTAATACTCAGTTTCAAAGAAACTATTCAAGATATTTTCATCAAACTTTATATGCTGATACATACTGATGAGAACTATTCAACTTCATCAACATTTTTTTTTACCTTGACCTTTCTTTTGACCTTGACTTCAAATTTGTGTTTAGCTAAATTTCAAAGAAACTATTCAAGATATTTTTATCCATCTTTATATGTTTTACATTTTGATGACAGCTATTCAGTTGCATTAATTTTTTTTTTTTGACCTCCAACCTTTCCTTTGACCTTGACTTCACTCTTCTCAAATTTGTATGTAGTTCAATTTCAAAGAAATTATTCAAAATATTTTTTATGTAAGCTTATGCACTGATACCTAATATTTGATGAGAATGTACCAACTGTGACCAATTTTTTCTTTGACCTTCCCAGTGAACTTTGACTGTACTATTTATAGTGTATAAAACTCAGTTTAAATGAAACTATTCAAGATATTTTCATCAAACTTCATACATTAATACAAATTTTTATGTTGCATTACTAATGAACCCTGGACAGGGCATTGATGTCCTATGGACATATTTCTCATGCTGCACAAATTGATTACAAGAATTATGATATAGTGAGTATTTCATAAAGGCCTATATGACTGTAAAAAGAAACATAAATGGGCATGTGTGCACATTTAAGCTAAGCTTCAACCAAAGTAATGAGTGAAACTATATAATTATGATATTTGGTACAGTTGCTCCATATATAAAAATAACTCTGTCATATGTATATATATGGTTCTCTTCATTAGATTACAACCTTGGTAAACCACAAAGAGAGACCTCGAGTGACAGAGAAAACCACACAGGCCCTGGTTAGGGTCGGTCAAGCGGTGTGTTTGGCGGTGGAGCGGTTTGTGTCTGTAGGACAGACCATTGCTGATGAGAACCCTGAGATCAGTACAGACATGTGTCAGGCTTGTGTGGAAGCCAGAAATGCAGGTAGGAAGGTCATCCCTAACATAATGCCATCAATAACTGGAGCAACCAAAAAAAATCTCTCAAAATGTTTGATTCATTTAGGTTTAACATTGTTTACAATATTTGTTAAAGCTTTGGTTTTAAACAGGTTTTATTTTGAAAACAATAATCATGTTTTTACACAGAAATGTGTATGAGTAGATATATAATGTATATAAGATATATAATGTAAGTTAAGATATTTAATGTAAATTAGATTAACATAGTAAATTAGATATGGTTTAATTCATTGTACAGGATTAAATTGACTTCTATGCATTGGTGCCAAATGTACTGTAAAAGGTATGTTTAAAAAAAACAACAGTAAAAGCTTTACATATCCTTCATTTGACACAGAAAAAGGTTCACATAATATGTAGCTTTCAAAAAGCAGTGGATAAAAACCTAGTAAATTGTATTGTGCTGTCTTAACACTGGGAGGCACAGCAGTGATCTTCATCTACATGTATCGCTCGCACACACCATTGGTTCCTCTGATACTAATACAGGCTTCAATTCTCAGTTTTAGTCCTCAGCTAGGGGATTAGTAACTAATTGTTTAACTCAGGTAGCTGTTGATTTGGTGTTTGGGAAATCTCACTTGACCTGCCTAAATATACTTTGCAGTATGACTGGGAATTTGAATCAACCACATGCAACAACTTCATTGGTGATGTTTTATTGCTGTTCCACAATAAAAATGAATGAAGAATAAGACTTAAGAATACTCAACATTTCTTTTATTCTACAGGAGCCAGCATTCAGCAGCTGACAGCGGGTGATTCAGCCTCACACAGGAATGGTAAACACATTGCTGAGAAGACAGCTATGGTCAGGGCGGCCCGGCAGTTGTTATCAGCTGTTACCAAAGTCTTACTTCTAGCTGACAAAGTCATTGTTAAACAATTACTTATATCCAAAGACAAGGTAAAGTATGACTGACCAAATGATAAACATGCATCTGAATATATTTAAACATGCATGTGGTGATCAGCTGAGTTTTGTCTAACTTGGAGGTGTATTCATTGATCTTCTTACTTTTGTTACAGGTGTCCAATACACTAAATGAACTGTACTCTGTAACAACATTTACAGATTTTGTAAACATTTTCTCTCAGTTTGGAAATGAGATGGTAGAACTAGCTCATCTAACTGGAGACAGACAGAATGTAAGAACCAGCACAGTAAAAGGGGAATAACTCTTACAGGCATAATGTATTCAGTCTATACAGTTCTAGCTACAATAATGTATTATAAACATACATGAATTTAGTGTGTAGAATTCTATATACTTGTTAGATATTGCGGATGTAAGAGAACATAGATGTGTAAGTAAGACTGTATTCCTCAAATCTGCAGGTGATTGTTCCAGATCTGCATATACATGTATAGATCATGAATATTATCAAAAAGGTTTATCTTGAAAAGGATTTAAATCCATGATGCATGTCAAATCCAGCACTGACAGTCATAGAGCAAATGTTAACTGCATTTTAGGTTTCATGATAAATGTATTGTATAATATGTAAAGGTATTGTAAGAAATACTGATTCACTAGTTAGATTAAAAACATCAATCAACTTATAGGATTTAAAAAGTGAGAAACACAGAGCTCAGATGGGGGCAGCAAGGGCAGTGCTAGAGAAATCCACCATGATGCTACTACCATCCTGTAAGGTAGGTTTATCTAAAAGAGGGAAAGATGATAGATACATTTCGTTGATTCAGCAGGTACTGGTACTTAAATGAAAGTATGCAACCAATAAAATCCAGATAAGTTTTAATTTTTGCATGTATTGTAGGTGTGTTTAAGGCATCCAGATTGTGAGACAGCCAAAGAAAACAGAGAGGGTGTGTTCAAACTAATGAAGGGTGCACTAAGTATGATCCGTCACATTGTCACAGATGAGGGAGGGAACCAGGCCAATGGAAATGTATCACCAGAACTTAATGGTGATTCAGGAATAGGATTGGACAATTACTTCTCTGCTTGTAAAGCTTTCAAGGAGTTTGAGGTTATTATAATCTGGAAAGCAGCTTACTTTGAAATTCCATACATATATTACATGTATTGGTAATACTGTGTACTGTTCTACAAAAGTTAACCTTCACAGTCACCATGCTGTTTAAATTTACACACAACCCATACTGATATTCAAGTAGCAGAAATATGTACCCAGTAACTTTTTTTTAGCTTTACTGAGCAAGATCAAGTGAACATTTCTTTATAAAGTTAGTTGCTGGTTTTCTGACATTACTTTCTTTTGATACCAGGATCACGTTGAAATGACCCGTGTGACGGGGGTTACCTCCAGTTGTAAGGAGAAGTTGAATGGTGCCTTTGACTCCCTGGTGGAGACGATACAGGATTTTACAGACTCAGCCTATACCTCTCACCAACACAGGGAATCCATCATACAAATGTGTGACAGACTTAAGTCAGAACTCAGTGCTTTACTCAGAACTTGTAAGGTATGCAGAATTCAATCTAATTAAAATTAGATGTTCCGAATCCGCTACCGCTTCTCAAACATCTAACAACATCCCATTAGGGGTCACGTCAGAGCGACCTTTTGGTTATGAATAAACATGAAAATGTTGGTCAATCAGATTCAACCTTCTGTATACGATTCTAAAATTAGTTCCACAGCTACATCTTTACATTATTGATGCTCAGTAGACTGTCTTATGTTAAATTAAAGTAATTTTGGTATAAATTGAATGTATAGTCCACCAATCTGGCATTCTTCCCTGAATAATGCAAACGAAAATGCACAAACTACTATATGTCCCGCACGTCACATTCATATATAGCACGATCTTTACCATGCATATTTTGTTTACTACGAAACCCCTCGGGCGTTTAGATTTGGCAGTAAAAAAAGAAATGCATCCGAACTATAAGCCAAGATTTCGGAGACGGCGATTTCATTGGGTAATCAAAAGGTCGCTCTGACATGACCCCTAATGGGATGTTGTTAGATGTTTGAGAAGCAGTAGCGGATTCGGAACATCTAATTTTAATTAGATTGTGCAGAATTAGTACCACACTGAATAGATATGCTCTCTAAGTTGGATATCTATCATAGTATTTTTATTGCAACATTCCTCATAAATGTTCAGTTTAAGTATTAAAGGTTTGACTGCCCACATTACAGTTTGTTAAATCATTATGAAGTACATGAATTTACACTTAGTAGAATTTTATATTTTCCTTGTATGTTGCAGTTGCACACTTATTTATACCTGCAGTTGTTGCCTTGAAAGTTGAAATGAATTTAGAGACTGTAGTAATAACATTTGTTGTAGAACCAAAGAAATTCCCCAAATCCTAGTCCTGAAATGGAGACGGCCATACTTAGGACTCTGACCGCAGCCAAATCACTCAACAAACAGGTAAAAATAAATTAGATATAAAAAAGGAATGGACACTACGAAATGTCTTTATGATGGTATTTCATGTTTGGGAATTGTTAAATGACACCTTTATTATGACTCTGTAGCTCCAAGACACTGCCACAGACCAGGCTTCAGAGTTGTTTAAAGCTAATGAAGACCATGAGATTCTGAAACATTTAAAGGCAGCGGGAAATAGTGGGGACCAGCAAAGGGTGACAGAGATGACAGTGAAGTTTGAGGAGCACATGCAACAGCTGGAGGAGGTAGCATACCTTTATATTAGCTAAAAGGAACATATACTGCCATGTGAAAAAAAAAATCAAATATCTCATGAAAGGGGGTTATTTACATGTATTTTCTGTTCTTGCATAAGGTATGGTTCACCTAGTCATGCTTTTGTATGATGATTTAATTGTGTTTTTCATGGTAACATTCTGTACTTATAATTATTATCTTATTTAACAGGTCTGCAAATTATTTCGTCATATAGCTACAAATGAACAACTTGTTATTGCTGCAGAACACAATGAGTTTGTTTTGAAGAACTTAGGACCACTTGTAAGTCACTTTTATCCCCTTTTGTAAGTGTTACTTAGAAAAGTTAAATAGAAGTAGTACAAATTTGATTTTTTGTCAGTCAACAACCACAAAAAAGAAATGTAACAGTCAAACCTTGTTATCTTGAACTCGATGGGACCAAGAAAAAACTTTGAGATATCCAAGGATTTGAGACATTGAGGGTAAAATACTTAAATAATAAGTGGTTTGGACTTTCAAATCACTTTGACATATCCATGGTATTCGAAATGTCTGTGTTTGAGATAACAAAGTTCAACTGTAATTGTTGATTTCAGACTCTCCTAGCTGCCCAGGCTTTGTCCATGTATCCTAACAGTAAGATAGCACAGGAAAATCTGGATATGTTTGCCGAGTCATGGGAGACGCAGATCAATGACCTGTCAATCATGGTCAAGGAGATCAATGATGTGTGTCAGGGAAGGGGAGATAAACCAGTGTACATGTCACTCCCAAGACCTGGGGTAAGTTTTGTTCTATTTTTAAAAAAACTCATTATTGTGGAGCTGATTGTATTTTCATTAACAAAAGTAATTGAGCTTTATATCTTTGCAGTGAATATTATTATTGTTTGTAGATTTGATAGGATTTACAGATATGACACCTTTAATGCAAAGTTTAAATTTATCACTGTTGAAAAGTTATTATGATTTTGTAAGAGTTGAATGCAAGGAAGATAACTTGGTCATTTTTGTTTTGTTTCATCTGATGAAAAGTTAAGTCCCATAATGCAGTTATGAAATCATCAGTGCAATAGTTTAGGGGGAAAATCAATTGAAAAGAAAATGATATACAATGTTCAGAAAAATATATCTGTCAGATTTTGTAATGATAAATAATTAAACTTCAAATTTGATTTTACTGGCATATATGATGAAGTGAAATATTGAGTAAATACCTTCAGGTCTTGTGTATAATGTTCAAATTTAAACAAATATTGAGTTATATAATGAGATGAGCAATACACCTCTTTCTTTTTGGCTTCCTGGATACCAGATTTGTCCACCTCTTCCTCTTGTGAGTTCTCTATGTTTATAAATGTCTGTGTCAATTCTCCTCTGTCCAGATGTTTTATACATGTTCTACACATTACACAGTCAGCTGTAACTACTGTGTTTAATACCTGTAGTACATTACACAATCACCTGTAATTTGGACGCATATTTTCTCACCATTATAGTTAGTTTCTTATGTTTAAATCTACTGAACTATGCAAAAGCATTTATAAGCAGTGCACAACTGAGTCAGTAACTTTCGCTCAATAATGTTTATAGGAAGCTCTCTTTTGTCTCAATTGTCTCTGTTTTGATTTAATTCAAACTTTTTTTGTGATTTCTAGTTTTTCATTTTATGTTGTATTTCCTTTCTTTGTCATTTGCATCATTGGCCCAAGCACAGCAACCTCCATGTTCTTACAGAACATTTCTGATTGATTTAAAGACATCTTGTATGTGCATGGCTGGCATGGCTTATGAAGCTAAACCAAGTAAAACTCCGTGACCTTGGTGTAATTTAATGTCACCATGATCTAGGCTTAGTAAAGCTACATCACTCAGGAAACTTAATTCATGTAAGGATGATAACTTCTGCTGTGATAATATTCTGGCAATGCATGTAGATTTACTATATACTTGCTGTATATATATTGATATTATGTTCGATGAGTTTTCTTTAACTCTGTGCATTCAAGATTCAATACATTACCCAATATTTAATATTGTTTTCAGAATTCTAAATTAAAGTAGAAATCAAACACTTTACTTGGAAAAAGTTAAAATAATCTTATGTAGGATGGGAACTAGTTGCATTAAAAACTAATAAAATGATATCCTTTTTTTAGCTCACCTCAACGAAGTTGAGGGAGCTTATGTAATACCGTCGGTGTTGGATCGGCGTCGGTGTCGGCGTCCCTGGTTAAGGTTTTTGGAGCAGTTTTCTTTTCAAGTACTTCTATGGCCTATATTAATCAGAGATGCATGGAGGATGCTTCTAGTGTGTCTCATTGTACCAGTCAAGGTTTCAGATGCTGCAATTTCAGCTAAAGAATGACCAGGTTAATGTTTTTGGAGCAGGTCTCATTTCCAAGTAACTGTAAGCCCTATATTGACCAAACTTGCATGGATGATACATCTAAGGATGCACACTACTGAACTTGCTTCGGATGCTGGATCTGACCTACATTTGCTGGATCTGACCTACATTTTCCAGATGAGTGACTAGGTTAAGGTTTTTGGAGTAGATCTCATTTCCAAGTAACTAAAAGCCCTATATTGATCAAACTTGCATGGATGATACATTTCAGGATGCACACTACTGGACATGCTTCGGATGCTGAATCTGACCTATATTTTCTGGATGAGTGACCAGGTTAAAGTTTTTGGAGCAGATGTCATTTCCAAGTATCTATAAACCCTATATTGACCAAACTTGCATGGATGATACATCTAAGGATGTACACTACTGGACTTGCTTCGGTTGCTGGATCTGACCTATATTTTCTGGATGAGTAGCCAGGTTAAAGTTTTTGGAGCAGATCTCATTTCCAAGTAACTATAAGCCCTATATTGACTAAACTTGCATGCATGATACATCTAAGGATGCACACTACGAGACTTGCTTCGGATGCTGGATCTGACCTATGTTTTCCGGATGAGTGACCAGGTTAAAGTTTTTGGAGCAGATCTCATTTCCAAGTAACTATAAACTCTATATTGACCAAACTTGCATGGATGATATATCTAAGGATTCACACTACGAGACTTGCTTCGAATGCTGGATCTGACCTATGTTTTCCGGATGAGTAACCAGGTTAAAGTTTTTGGAGCAGATCTCATTTCCAAGTAACTATAAGGCCTATCTGAACCAAACTTGCATGGATGATGCATCAAGGGACGAATAATCTCAAAACTTGCTTCAGATGCTGGATTTGACTTACATTTTCTGGATGAGTGACTAGTTTTAAGTTTTCAGATAAGTCTATTCCCAAGTAACTGCAAGCTCTATCAGACCAAAATTGCATAAATGTTGCATCTAGGGATGCACACTCCTAGATTATTAGTTTAGTGTGGGACTTTGCCTTACTTAAAGACAACATTCGTTGAGGTGAGCTCTGTAATCTCTGATTACCTATGTTTAATTTCTCTCCTTATCTTTCATTAAACATTTAGTACAATTTGTCAAACCTTCAGGCAGGTTATAGCCACCCCTAGACTATCTACTGTATTTATGTACATGCATATTGTATTTGTACCTGTAGCAGAAAAAAATACATTGTATTATATTGCTGTTCAAAGAGGGGAAATTTCCCAATTCATATTTTGTTCAGATGCAGTCTATCAGAATTTCAAATATTTTCATTCAAAAGGATCTATTTCTTCATACTGACTATTTAGTATGCAAATTTCCTAATAGAACTTTAAATAAAACTAAATCCTGAAAATAACATTTAAATCTATCAATTTTAATATATTCTATCGAAAAGTCTGATTGTAAGCCATCATATGTCTTATTTTTGGTGGTATTATTATTAAGAAAATCTTTTAAGGTAGTTAAATACTGTCAAACCTCGTTATCTCGAACTTGATGGGACCGCAAAAAAACTTCGAGATATTTGAGGATTCGAGATATCGAGGGTAAAATACTTAAAGAATAAGCAGTTGGGACTTCCAGATCACTTTGACATATCCATGGTATTTGAGATATCAGTGTTCCAGATACCAAAGTTCAACTGTAAATGGTAATGTAAAAGTAGAATCAGTACAAGTGTTATGGTGTGACTATTTTGTAATAAATCCAGAGCATTGAATGTACTCCTATACAGAAAATACAGGTACCTGACGTACTTTCTATTATATTTCAATATGGGGGCCATTAAAGTTTTCCATGTGCCACAAGCATGCATGACAAACTGAAACTTTCAATTACAATGAAAATTTTCAACAATAGACACTGATTGCCATTAAAGAATATACCCTGGAATAATTGATTTGATGGATCAAAACTGTCAACAAATGTTTAATGAAAAACTCCAAGCCTTAGGCTAATGAGTACATTTTTATAATACAATCATGAACAAATACTTGTTACTCTAATTTCAAAGCTAAATCAATATATGTTGTACCAGTTATGATTAAAGAGGTCAAGAATAGTACAGCTTTTGAATGTTTTGTTCTGATTTCTGCAGCATGCAAAAGAGTCTTCACTTAAGGACGTTCGATCCTGAGCTTTTGAGCAGATTTTGGTCTGGAGCTTTATTTCTAAAATTCTGCATTATTTTTAAGTTCTAACATTAAATCTGGATTCTACAATGCAAATTATACTATATCCAATGAAAAAACGCGATTATATTCCATTCAAATAGGATTAAGCCAGGAACTATATTTTGTGGCGGAAGATTTTTTAGAAGAAAATGATCATTTTTTCCCTTTTGAAATATATACAGTACTGTTAAGTTTAGATTCCTATTTTTCCATGCTGGTTGCACACAGAGCTATTTTGTGCATTGAAATGTTTAATGCTGGTTCTAAAATATTAATTAAATCAGTTTTTGTGAATTCTATCATCATATTGTGACAAATATAGAAAATATATTCTGAAACTCCAGGAAAAAATTGAGCCAATTTTATCACAAAATTAACAGTTTTTTAGTAATATCTAAAAAATAACATCATAGACCTCCACTTTTGATTTTCTTTTCTGAATATATAAGATAACTCTGATCAATTTACTTAAATTCAGCAAAAGTTTAAGACTTTAAAATATTTTTCTTGCTTGTTAAATTTTTAATGCCCGAAAAATGACATTTTGTAAGTGCAGAAAGGTCAAATAATTGATTATGCGAAGCAATTTGAAAATTTTTCTTTGTCACAATTTTAATGTGTCTTTTTTAAGAGAGAATAATACAATACTTTGTCCCATGATTTATTTGGATAAAAAATATTGGAGGGAAAACGTCGAAGATGTTATTTTTGATTAAGACACAAATTCAGTGCAAAAAGGTCATTTTAAATGTACTGTAGCGCCAAAAGAAGCATATTGACCCCCATTTTTTGCTTTGATTTTTAATTAAGCTATGTGTGTACAAGCTAAAAATATACTTGACAAAAAAAGTTTAAGACTTTAAATATCAGGATCCAACGTCGTTAAACACATGGTAATCAACAGCTAGGGTCCAAAAATTTCAGCTACTAACCATACCTATACTTAAGCTTGAACTGATGGCTTGATTGATGTAGGGTAAAGTTAGACTCTCTCGTTTTTCAGTTTTATTGATTGATGGGAACTCTGGAATATGATATTGACTTTATTAATTCTATATCTCGGTAAGTGTGTGTTCATTAGGCAAATACATCATACCAATCTGGGCGGTAATTAGGGATTGTGATCTTGGCAGAATATAAGAGTAGTAGAGAGATCTTTAAAAAGTTACATATACTTTTTTTTCTCCTCAGATTTGTCAGCTACCTTCAAAATTTTTACAAATTTTAAATCTAAATGGAATGAAATCATTGATTGTATTTCACTAATTTCTTTATTTTTTGGGCAGAAACATGGTACTAACTCTCGTGGTGTGAGGCCTGTGAAGTTGGATGCTGAGGTAGGTTTTGTTATAGTAATTAATCACATTGATATATTTTACGCAAACTTTTTAATGCCTTTATAAACTTGCCTTTTTCTTTTTTTTTTTTTTTTTTTTTTTTTTTTTTTTTTAAGTTTATGTTTTTTTTTTATTTTTGAGAACTAGGTGCACTAATTAACAAAAGATGATATGGATTATCACTGAGTTTGAGAATTTTTAAAATTAATATCAGATGTGTAATGCTTCTAAATCATAGAGAGTGATTTTTGTTTAATAACATGAAAGTTTTTTATGTTACTTAACCAGTGCACAGCTATCATTCTAATTGATAGTGAAATAACTCAGAATTATACAGCTAAGCTTCAGTGATTGAGAAGAGTTTAAGAAATGTATATTGATTTCTTCCTGACGTTGTGGTGGGGATACCTTACTGCGAGAGTACTGATGAAAGTTTAGTGTGCTTTTGTGTTGTCTTGTAGAACTGTGTGCTATCTTAGAGTAATCACAATTTTTTGGAGAAATCAATAGTTTTTATTGTGCTAAATACATCTGACATCCTCCCAAAGACAAACAAATGGCAGTGTACAGCATGGTACAGTGGTGAAATGGATCTCAGTTTTAATGACAATCTCTCTCATGGGAGGATTAGAACAAGAACTCTTTAGTGGATAAAGTACATTGGAGATATACTTGATGATTTATATTCCTGAGAGTAGAAATTAACAATAATCAATTAGTACTTAAGTATTTTACAGAATTCTGTGTAAATTCAAAGAAAATATGCATTAAGAATTATGTGTTGATCTCCCTCTCTTTCAAATCAAAATTCTAAATGGTGGAATTGTAACTTTGATTTTTGATTTTTATACCCAAATCCAAAGGAGAGAGGGGTATACTGTTTTACCCTTGTGTGGCTCTCTGGCTGTCTGTGTTTCTGTCTGTCTGTAACAAATTTTCGTAGCAGTTTATCACACACTCTTAGCACACTCTTTATTTAGGCATGCAATATGTTGGGATTCATTTTTGTACGAATCTGATGTCAACGTCCTGTTCAACCATGCGTCTGTCCATACCAAATTTCTGTTCAAGTTTTCTGTGCAACAACTTAGGCAGATGCTTGAAATTTTAGCCCACTCTTTATTTTGGTTTGCTATATTTTGAGATTCATTTTTGTACGAATTCTATGTCAACTTCCTGTTCATCCCTGCGTCTGTCCATACTAAATTTCTTTTGCATTTCTCATCAACTACTTAGGCAGATGCTTAAAATTTTAGCACACTCTTTGTTCAGGCATGCCATATGGTGGTATTATGTGTGCATCTGTCTGTACCAAGTTTCCGTAATTCACATGAGAGTGTATACTGTACATGTACATAAATTGGCGCATTCAAAATTTAGCGCAGTCACTTGGTATGGAGTTGTTGGCGAAATCATAAATTAGAGCTATACATGTCTGTGCCGTATGTTGTATTTATAAAATTTTTAATGATTTCTTAGCGGTATTCATGAATTAGCGCATCATTTTCTGAGCCAAAGCCGCTAAAATATGAAGCTCGCTTTTTTAAGTACACATACAGTATTCACATCAGAGCGGGGGTATTACTTGTGACCATTGACTCACAGACTTCTTGTTCTGTCTGTTCATCCATTCTTTGATCTATGTATTTGTGTTTAAGTTCTTTATCAACAAATTTGTTTTATTTATCGTATCTATAGTGGGGATGTACAAGAGTACTGACAACATTGGGAGGAAAATAGCGGGAAGACATTTTATTTGACTTACAGATTTATTTGTTAGCACATGAAAAGTAACATAGTTCACAAAAATTTATGGAATTTTTAGAATTGTGTCATTAGATACTAATACAGATTTTATCAAGTTATACATAGAATATATCATTAATGATTCATGATAGCTTAATATCCACATACTCAGTGTATTTTAGATGCATTGATTAAGAATATCCTTTTCATGCTAACCAATAACTGTCATGGTCAAATTGCCTATTTCTCATAGTATATAAACTAGTTATGTCAAGTCTAGAATTCATTTACATGATCAAATCTGATGTATCACATTAAACAGAGTTATAAAATGTCAGCCATGGTAATATAGTGGGTGGGAAAATGATAGCTTCCTGGCTATTTGAATTTATATCTTCATTTATCTCCAAGCCTTTGAGGGGATAAAAGTATCAATACATTATATAGTGGGTTCAAAGTCAGAATTCAAGTTGTTTCATCCTTTTATTTGATTTTTAAAAGTTTGAATTATTACAGGTACACATTTATAATTTACATCTAGTACATGTACTTACAATCTCTCACCAGAGGGTTCACTTACACTCTGTTATTATCTAATGTACAAGAGTCTTTTTAAAATGGGTAAATGGTAAAGATTTACTTTTAAATTATTTCCAAAATGAACATAAAAATACTTTTCTTGTAACAACCTTATACTTTCCTTCATTTTGAAAATTTATACTGAATGCAGAGCTTTCAATAATTTTGAAGTGAAGTGGTGTCAATTTATCCATTTGAAGAGGCCGTTTTGGAATTATTTCCAATTATTTATTTTGCCAATTCTAAAATTTGAAGCAGCGAATTCCAGCCATTGTCTCCTCTTGTTGAAAATGCTGCAATGTATTATGTATGGAACAATTTTGCTTAATTCTCTATGCCTACTATACGTGTGCAGAGATTGCTTTGGAGACAATAACAGAAGTTTAAGTGAATTTAAGCTTGTTTAACTCATCCTCTGGTGAAATTGCCAATACCTACTGAGTCATTTTTCATTTACCTACCATATCATATCTCTTCTGTAAAAAAAAATAAATAAATAAATAAAAGAGCAAGATAGTTTAGAGGGACAAGGGTATAACTCCAGTAGAATATTTTTAGCTTACCTGAGCTAGAGGCTCAAATGATCTTTCTGATTGAAGGTGTCCAGCATCCATCTATCATCTGTAAACTTTTCACATTTTTGACTTCTTCTCCAGAACTATTGGGCCAATTTCAGCCAAACATATCATAAAATATCCTTGGGTAAAGGAATTCAAATTTCTTCAACTAAAGAGCCAAATTCTCTCTTAAGGGGAGATAATTAGGAATTCACGAAAATTTGGTGGCATCATTTAAAAAAATCACTTCTCTGACTGCTACCTATGTGTTTTTGAAATCATGTATCATTAAAAGTCAACCTTATGTTAGAAAAATATGGGATTATTAAAATGCCAATATGGTAAAACTTAATACTATTGTCAAAGGTACTGACTGCATGGGAATATCTTATCTGTAGTGCTGAATCAATTGATAAAGCTACCGAAAATTTTACAACTAGACATATCTAGATCTCATAGGGGCATGTGTACCTGAAAAATTGGTTATATAAGATCTAAAGATGAACCTTGGTTTGATTCCAAGTTACAAAAAAACAATTCATAAAAAAAATAATATATTAAAATAAAAAGCAGTAAAAAAAATTAGAAATGGAAACCAACTTAACAACACGCAAAAAGCTTGCAGCTGAAAATTATCGAAGATAAAATGAATGTACATAATGATTATTTTTCTTCAATTACGTGTTGATGATGAGCTCACTTTTGATCTGAATCTCACCTTTCTACTATTAATTCCTTTGGTAAAAGTGAGACTGAGCTTGTCTCAGTTTTATGTCCCCGGAGGCCGTAGACTGATTTACTTCAAGAAATTCCTATGTGTGACAGCATGTTTGACAGTGTGTATTTGTGAAAAAAAAATTATTGATATTTTACCTAACGGTATACTCCCTCGTAAATAGGCAATCAAAGAAGACTGTATCAATCATAAAATGTTTAATTAAAGCAACAAAATTATCTATTGTAAAACCTCTATGTATACTTGTTCATTGAAAGACAAAAGTTATAGGTGACTCTCTGATGGCTCAAACTTCAATTTCTTGAGGTTCTTGATCTCTCAAAATGAGTCTCTGGTCTCAATTTTTTCTCTAGCATGTATATACGTAACTAAGAATTTACTCTTGATTTCTTGAACTCTCAATCTTTCGAAACCCTTGATCTCTTGAAGTCAAATTGCAGTCCCATAAAACATATTCTATAGTTGTATGCAGAACATCTGAAGAAAACCTTTGGAGAATGTGTAAATACATGTCTTCATTTATCTCCAAGCCTTTGATTTCTTGAACTCTCAATCTTTTGAAACCCTTGGATAGGAAAGATATAAAAAATGGGTTGAGGGACTTTCTACCTGTCCTCTCCTCGTGAAAATTTTACCTGTCTCCTTCTCGTGAAAATTTTATTTTTTTAGACTATTGTATACCAATTTGGGGCAAATTGAAGATTCGTTCCGCAAAGAAGCAATGTTAATGTGATTAATTAAGACACTCACTTGTACACATTGAACTTGAAAAGAAAAAAATAAGTGTACTTGAACCAGTTTGCAAAATGAAAGTAATTAATAATTCCCGTTCTTTCCTTATGGTACAGTAATTATACAATTCATCGTTTTAGTTGATAATTATAGTTGATGTGATTGTACCAATTCTCAGTCATTCCAATGTAATTTAAATTTTCTCAAATAGCTGATCTTATTCAGAATAAAATGAAAGACAGAAAAAACTCTGCCTAGAAATTGAAATCATTTAATGGTTGTTAAAGGAGAGGAAGAGGAAAATTGATTAGGAATATAAATAAAGTCGGGATTATTTAAATCAGGCCATAATATCCAATAGGAATTCTAATCTACTGAGTGATCTGGACAGATAAATGTCAATTGGTGGAATTTATAAGAAAATACAGCAACAATATGTCAAGATCAATTAATGTTTCAGAGTCCTATATAAAAATAGAAGCTTACAAAGTAACACTCCAAATCAATAAATGAGACGTAGGGGGATAGTGAAGAAATTCTCTGAATAGGAGCAATTGTCAGGAATTTCTCTATCATTAAGGCCAGCACAATGTGTCGTAAGAAGTTAGTTTATGTAACTTAAATCCTTAAGAGGAATGTTTGGGATAAGTACAGAGTATATAAATATGTGAATGATACTGTATTGAAAATAGTTATTGGGCATTTTATGTAAGTATATTACATTTTGCTAAATAAAAAAATGCCAGTTTCAGAGCTGCAAATAATATATGGTAGACATTAAAGTTCATCTATTGAAATATGTGACATGCATTTATTTTTCCAATATTATACATGTATTTGTTAAAACATTATTATATTTCATTTTATAATATGAATTGCATCAGAAATATACATGTGTATCATGATTTATTTTGAAAAACAACTTTATGAACTTTTAAGTACAGGTCCACCTAGAATCAGGCAAAATCAAAATTCTGTTATAAGTCGAGGTTTGAAAATTGACTTGAAACTTCACATAGTTATGCATCAGGACTTTGTATGTATTACATATCATCAATGATTTGGTAATGTTTGGGCTTGTTTTAATTTAATAGTCAAGTAATCTGTTGAATAAAATATGAACATGACTGAGTAGTACATATGTGTACATTATGGTATGCATATTGAAAAGTTATGATAGAGTGATTGGTCAGCATATTAACTATTTAAAAAAAAAAGTAATACAAGATAACAATGGATGCATCTACTCAGGTTTATCAGTTGCTTGAAATAATTAAAACAGAGAAATTTTGGTTTGAAGTAAGACAGAAAATTGACTTGATACACAGAATTTCCATCCCAGTCAATTCCCTTCAAAACTATTTTTGGACAATAAGATTAATTGCAGAGTAAACTGGGTAAACTCAGCTGCATAGTAAAATTCATAATGATACAATAAATGTAATGAAGAAACAATTAATTTAATGAAAATGAATTTAACACACAATTAATGCACTTAGTTTTAGGAGAAAAGTTTGTCTAATTTTAAGCTACAGTATTTATCAAAAATTCTTAGAAGTTTTCCTTTTCATTAAAATCTGCTGATTGATTTTTCCACACTTTTCATACTGGAAATTAAACTAAAGATGAACATTATTTTTATTTTTTTATGTGCAATAAGTTACATAATTTGTTTGCTGTTTTTAAATAATTTTGTTTTAAATTCACAATGTTTGTGATATCTGAAATGACATATAATTACAATGGTTGCTATGGGTATGACCTATATATCAACTCCATGACAACTAATATAAGAAGGATACATACTCCTTTCAAAACAAAATAGCATTTGATAATTTATGTAAAATAATAACACTTGTTTTTGGATGACATTTTACCCATACATGCCCATCTGTTTATAGTAACATATCACACCTTTTTAGAATAAGGTAACTACTGTATCATGTAAAAATACGAAGAAATATTGGCCCAGTATGAGATATTTGATTTTAATCAATGATTGCTTGATTCTTGGATTGACCTGTACTTAATTGTCTTTATCCTTATCTTGCTTCTGATGAAGTTACTGATTGCTTGATTCTTAGATTGACCTGTACTTAATTGTCTTTATCCTTATCTTGCTTCTGGTGAAGTTACTGATTGCTTGATTCTTAGACTGACCTGTACTTAATTGTCTGTAACCTTATCTTGCTTCTGGTGAAGTTACTGATTGCTTGATTCTTAGATTGACCTGTACTTAATTGTCTGTAACCTTATCTTGCTTCTGGTGAAGTTACTGATTGCTTGATTCTTAGATTGACCTGTACTTAATTGTCTTTATCCTTATCTTGCTTCTGGTGAAGTTACTTCATAGCATATTTTCTAGCTTCACATATTTTAAGTCAGCTTATGATTTGTTGAATGTATAATCTCAGGAGAAATTAACTTGCATGTTAATATTTGTATTATTTCAGGAACAAGCTAAAATAGCAAAACTTGGTCTGGAAATGAAATTAATTACATCAGAAATGGATGCAGAGACTGACAAATGGGAGGAACCAGATAATGATATTGTCAAGCGTGCCAAGAACATGTCTAGTATGGCCTTTTCCATGTACCTGTTTACCCGTGGAGAGGGACCACTAAAAACCACACAGGACCTATTTATCCAGGCGGAATACTTCTCATCAGAAGGCAATAAACTGTACAAAACTGTCAGGGACTTCAGTGATAAGGTAAAGGTCTGCAGAGATTTGATGTCAATGTTTCATTAATGATGATAATTATAGAAATGCACTGCTGTTGCCAAGGTAACTTGTTATTAAATGTTTGTTAGTTTATGATTGCCGCAA